GGTTTTAACGAGAGACCGTAGTACAGCTAAGGGTACGGTTCATCTTATCTTATAGCAAGATACCGGTATCTCTGACCAAATACCTATAATACACTCTCAACTAATACGCGTGCCTTTAATTTGAGTTTTGAGAAAAAGCGTGATAATTAGTTTTAGACACATGAAGTAGGTAAAGTATAGTAAATTGTAGGCCCCTACATCAAAGACAATGCTTTATGGTACATCACACCCATTATTTGATTTCTATGATCGCTGATAAAGAACACGAGTTTGTTGGCGCTTTTTGGCTGTAATAATGAGTATTAATGGTGGTGTGATGATGATAAATTTACTCATGAGTGTTCCGGTCATGTACTTTCCCGAATGAAATGTTGTTGTCCCCCACCACCTCCACCTTTCCAAATAGATCTGTCCCCTTGGCATTTCAGAAAATTCAAATTATTTATGCCGATACTACATATTGTATGGTTTGATGTACGTGAGGATGTGGGAGAAGCACACTCCTCCAAGAAGAAGCTCCCCTCCCCCATCACAACCCCGCTGGGCCAAAAAAAAAAAAAGGTGGGGGGGGGGGGGGAAAGGCCAATAGGCTCACGTAGTTAAAAATCATCTCATGACCTTATTTGGCTACATTGCAACCCCCAACACTGGACCACTTTACAAATTGTGTTTTTTTTTTTTTTTCATTTTGAGATTATTTTAATTTTTTGTCATAAAACTTGCAAATGTGTATGCAGTGTTAACCCCTCTCCATTCCCTAGTACTGTGCTCTCTACTGCAGATGGTTTGAAAATGGATACAGTAACCCATCAACTAATTAAAATAATGTATCTCCATGGGGTGACTCATCATAGTGGCATTTTGAATAATCAAAACACTCAAGTTTGCCCCTCCTTGCGAATGTGTTTCGGCGGCCTAATGTACTTCATAAATTCACCGGCACCCAATGAATATTAAAATATGTAAATACCGATTTAAAAAATAGCAAATTTAGTTGTATATTTTCTTTACAAAAATTATCACATCTAGCCTAATGAATCGCTGTGCAACAGCTTCACAACCAGAGTAGCCACAAAACCGTACCCATACACTACATGCGCGTAACAATATTATAATGTTGTGATGTGGTCACTAGGTTACCGCCGAAGAAGGCAGGCAGCAAACACAAGAGAGGCTACTTGGCAACAGATATTCGCAAAGGGTGGTAGTGTATTGTAGTGCGTATTGGAAATCAGCATTTTATTTCTAATTTTACCTAAAATATAAGCAAAATATGTTCAAAAACACGTTTCAGAGTGGATTTTTATCCATATTGTACAGTATAGGTAGTAAACCTTTGCAGATATGGGACAAAAAGGTGAGTATTTAATGTTTTTATATGTGTGTGTAGGCTAGGCTACCCAATCGGATTCGTTGTGCGTATGGATGTAACCTAGGTAGGCACGGCAGGCATTGTGTTTGTTGCACATGGTGGGCCTCCCTTGCTTGCATCCATGCATAGGTGATAATGCCTAGGGAGTAGCATAGGTTCATCAATGATCCTTTCCCATTTAGCTCTTGCATACAATATATGTTTGTGTTAATAACATGTATTATTACTTACATTAATTTATTTAGGTATGCTTTTTAATTAGCCTATCCTAGCCTAAAATAGGGCTAGGCTAGAGTAGAGAGGCCGTCTAGCCTAGGTCTAGGCCTAAGTAAAGTAGGGTTTTTAATATTCAAACATGGGTTGAATTTGAATGTAGGTTTAGGCCTAATTGGGAAGGATTTATTAATTAGGCCTAAATTTTAAAATCTGTCTTTTTCATCCATCATGGCATTCATTATATACCTTGATTAATTGATATTATATATTATAGTACTACTAAAAGTAATTATTACAAATGTTATTAATAAATTTAGAAGAGGTCTAGGCATAGCCTAGGCCTAGATGGCTGTGTATGTAGTTAGAGGTTTGTAAAGAAAGGAATGATTAATTACATTCATTATATTAAACATCATCGTTGCTTGCAATTAAATTGAAATTGCATTTTTGTTATTTTTTTTTCCTACTTTGTTGGGTTCAATATGAGATTGAATATTGAAAACCATTTCAGTACAAATTCAGAGAAAAATAGAGAAGATATTTTTGTTTATTTTTAATATTACTTTAAATGATTTAATAAGTGCCTCTTGAATACTGATGGTACTGCACCAAGACAATCCAATCCATTCTTATATAATTCATTGTAATGGCAATACACAATAGTTTCAGATCCAAGACAATAAATATTGATTAAAAGTTGCCGTTACAAAATTTTTAAAAATCCTTTGTTACTTTGTTTTATACTAGGTGAGAAATGGTCATATCAAGAGGATAACAGACAATGACATCCAGTCACTAGTATTAGAAATTGTTGGTACAAATGTAAGGTATGTGAACTTTTACATTTTAGCAATTAATTTTCAAATAAATTGAGGTGTGTACTGCTAAACTATACAATGACTTTGTTATTAATAATATCGAACAGGTGCAAAAATATTAAGTGTAAATTTCACCAGTTCTATCTTGAATTTGCCTATCCTTAGGGTTAGAGTACGCCCCTACTAATCATCACAAAAATGAATATGAATTCTACCAGCTGTACATAGGACAGTCCTGCACCATCATGTATCTAAAGTAAATTAGCCATCAAATTAGCAAAAAAAATTGTGAAGAATTTCTATTTTTTGTTTTACAGCACAACATATATTACCTGTCCAGCAGACACAAAGAAGACACTTGGCATCAAACTCCCTTTTCTTGTTATGATAATCAAAAATATGAAGAAATACTTTACCTTTGAAGTTCAAGTTCTTGATGATAAGAATGTACGGCGACGGTTCAGGGCCAGCAACTACCAGAGTACAACAAGAGTAAAACCATTCATATGTACAATGCCCATGAGACTAGATGATGGCTGGAACCAGATTCAAGTAAGTTTAAACTCGTGTATTAACAGGGGCGGATCTAGAGATGTACAAAAGGGGGGCCCGAAAGCGGGGCCGATCGAGGTAATACTATCCAAGGGGGTCTGGGCGCAAAAAATAACCTCTAAGGCGTTTTGGGCAATCAATTTTTTTTCCCTCCTTTTTTTTTTTTTTTTTAACCTACCAAAAGGGGTCCTCCCCAAGTCCACCCCAGATTTAGAAAATGCAACAATAAGTAAAAAATCTTTCCTCCACTAGTTTATGTCCAAAATTCTGTAGAGAATTATTCATCTAAAACTCATTCAGTCTGGTGAACTGAATGTTCAAAACATAATGTGCTGTCCAAGGCTACACAATGCATTCTTGCGTCAGTTATAAAATGTCCGTTTGTGTATATTTTTTTAATTTATCAGAATTATATTTAAGAATTATAAGTAACCACTTCATTGCTTTTTAAAAATTATATCAAATATATCAAAGTAAGTGTAATTATGATTCTGTTGATATATGTTAACAGTTGGATTTCTTATATTTCAGTTCAACTTGTCAGATTTTACGAGGCGTGCATATGGAACAAACTACATCGAGACACTCAGAGTTCAAATTCATGCTAACTGCCGTATCCGACGCGTGTACTTTTCAGATCGTCTATATTCGGAGGATGAATTACCAGCAGAGTTTAAATTGTACTTGCCAGTGCAAAACAAATCAAAGCCATAGAGGGAGGAATAAAAACAAACTCACAAAAGACTATCTTAAAGTTCAGGAAAAAGCAACATTTTTATCATCTCTGCAATTGTTGAAATTTTATGCCAATATTATTATCAAAAGTTTTCTAAATTTGTTCTATTAAAGTTGAAATGATGAATGAATCTACAGAAATGTTTGCATCGTTAATGTGAAATAGAACAATTTTAATGCATGGCAACTTCTTGTTTACATATTGGATGACTATCATTAGTACTTGCATCAGAGGACGAGGTTAAAGAAAAATAATTTAATAATAATAAAGTGTATTATATAACCAGCAGTTGCTTGTCCCTTGAGGATAGCTAAGAGTGCAGCATCACTAATCATCACGTAAATTCTGTGTGAACATATAGGTGTATTTTACCAGGTTATACCAGTTAAACACTAATTTTCAAGATACTGATTGTTTTTGAAATCATAAAATTATATCCTATTACATAGTTATGCAAATAATGAGTATTTATATGAGTGCAATGTGAAGAATATTTTCTTGAATTGAAAGGTGGACTGTTCCCTTCAATGAGGTGAACCCTCCTTGAATGGAACGTTTTTCGCCAAATGAAAGTACAGTATTTGGAATGATTATTCTTTCCATTGCACAAGTACAAAAAACCATTCATTTTTTGTTATCAAATACACCTAGAGAAGATTCTTGTCAAATGAAATTTTAAAACAAATTATAGTTAATTAGATGAAAACATCGTATTTTACAACGAATGGGTTGAGATGTGCAATGGGACAAACCAGAGGGATCTAAAGAAATAGAACTAAGAATGATGCAAATAAACAAAATCGATTATTTTGCTATGAAATTGTGTAAATGTCATGATGTTAAATCCATCAATCAAATTACAAGGATCTATTTAGGTGTGTTGTAGAATGTCAATAATATGCTGGACTTGCATAGCGCAGACTCAACAGTGTTCCATAATGTTGCAGTCTCAGTTGACAGTAGAACATTGAAGTGACCACTACCCTGATCGAACCCTGGAACTTTTGATTAAAAGCCCGATGCTTTACTGCTGCACTGCATTTTTTCAGGTGGTACCTTGAGGTTGTTTCAACGTCAGGCGCAATAAATCTCATATTATTTTCGATTAAAGCAAATATATAACACTATTGTTCCTTGAAGAGAAGTTATACAATGCATTCCAAAGTAGTTTATTCAGTTGAGAGTAAAATGTAATTAATAAAATAATTCACCTAGGCTAAAATTGCTTTAACAGGAATTCATTAGCATTATTGAGATTATTACCTCTCTGGCTATACATAACCTCGTAGCCTATACATGTTGTTACTTATCTGTACATATTATATTTATAAAACCTAATGTTTTATACCTTCAAAAAACTGAATGTTTGTTATTTGTATAAAAATAAGAGAAAATTTCAGGAACTGGAAAACATTTAAATATCCAAAGCAAATCAAATTCTTTTTCTAATTAGCTTATACTTTGGTGTTAATAGTAATTATATATCTCTGCGATCTAGACATACCTTAATTTATATATGATCTGAATTGCAAAATGTTCATGTTGTTTAATGTTCCATTTAATGATAGACATATACATTTCAGAACTTAATTGTTGCAGCTATTTCAGTTTCAATAATAAATTGGTTGATGGTGCATCCATTAATCATAATTGTATATAAAAATAAAACGTGTCTGTCCATTTTGTCTGTCTGCAAAGAAACTTAAACCTATTCTAATATTATAAAACTTGGATTTGTAAAAGCTGTTTCTAAGTTCCACTGCTAGTTTGATACCTGAGAAGATTAATAGATGTAAGTGTAGATTGATCTGCATTGATTTTAGCTGGTTCAAAGTACAGCTGTACTGCACATCGTCCGTGGGCTTCTCCTAAGCCCCGCCCCTTGGATATTGTTGCCAAGGTCCCACAAAACAATAGCGTAAATACATGTAACACCGTGTGTTTATGGGACAACTGATTGATCGCCGCTCTTCCTACTACAAAATGTTAATTGGCGCCACCACTCGGTAATAACTATTAAGAAAGTTCAAGTTTATTAATAATATTTGCATAAATGGTATCTAACAACGAGCAATAGACTGCGTGTTTTACAAAGGTAAAAACAATTCCATTAAATAATAAATTTGCAAAACAGATAAAGAAAAATCAATCTGATGTCAGGAATAGGAGGATATGAATCAGTGAGTGTGTGTTCAGTAGTTGGTGTGGAGAGAGGCAGCTGAGCGAAAAATGATTGATTTGGATGATAACTACACATTTTACCCCTGTTCTACAAAACTGAGATCTTCCCACACATTATCTGATCATAATCAATTGACTATGATGATCCATCTCCCTGGGGGTTACTATGGCAAATTCAATGTCCACTGGCCTAACTTAGATGGTTAATTTATAATCGAGAAAAATGAAAGAAAAATACTTTCAGTAGGCTACAATCTCGACTGTCATCTTTAATTGGACATTTTTTTCCAATTTGGTACACCAATCGCACTCCCCTATACTTGCCTTCTAGGGTTCCAGCGCTCGACATTATCATCACGTCCCTTTTTTTTTTTTTTTTTTTTCATGCTGTGATTTCCGGAATTCAAAGCGCATCACATGCGCATTATGTTGACCACCTAATTCACACCAAGAATTCGCAGGCATTTGATATGCTGTATGTTAACTTGCCTGTGTGAAGTGTCGATTCACTACCAAGATGATGTAATAATGGACTTTTCCACTAAGCCCCTCCCTTGGATATTGTTGCCAAGGTCCCACAAAACAATAGCGTAAATACATGTAACACCGTGTGTTTATGGGACAACTGATTGATCGCCGCTCTTCCTACTACAAAATGTTAATTGGCGCCACCACTCGGTAATAACTATTAAGAAAGTTCAAGTTTATTAATAATATTTGCATAAATGGTATCTAACAACGAGCAATAGACTGCGTGTTTTACAAAGGTAAAAACAATTCCATTAAATAATAAATTTGCAAAACAGATAAAGAAAAATCAATCTGATGTCAGGAATAGGAGGATATGAATCAGTGAGTGTGTGTTCAGTAGTTGGTGTGGAGAGAGGCAGCTGAGCGAAAAATGATTGATTTGGATGATAACTACACATTTTACCCCTGTTCTACAAAACTGAGATCTTCCCACACATTATCTGATCATAATCAGTTGACTATGATGATCCATCTCCCTGGGGGTTACTATGGCAAATTCAATGTCCACTGGCCTAACTTAGATGGTTAATTTATAATCAAGAAAAATGAAAGAAAAATACTTTCAGTAGGCTACAATCTCGACTGTCATCTTTAATTGGACATTTTTTCCAATTTGGTACACCAATCGTACTCCCCTATACTTGCCTTCTAGGGTCCCAGCGCTCGACATTATCATCACGTCCCTTTTTTTTTTTTTTTTTTTTTTTACAAATTGAAACCATATCTGGTTTATAGTAATTTGTATGTGCCATATATAAACAGATGTTTTAGGGCAACGTGAGTGTATTTTTATGCTAAAAATTATAGGTACTGTAGTCACGTGCGTGGCGTGCTTATATTAATTTTTGTTGCGTGTTTGGCATCTCTGAAATCGCTTTTCAATCAATCATTAGGACGGCATGACACATTGTTAAAATGCGCATGCGCATCGAACCGGTTTGGAATGAGGATGATCGGTAGCAACGCCATTTTACCAAACTAGTTAACGCCTGTTTAAATACTCTTGGTTAGGAAGTCTTTTTCTTCAATTTTGTGGACCTACAGGAGTTTTTTTTGTAATGGTGGCCAAAATCAAAGATACATCCATGTGTTTTCAGCGATAAAGGTGTTTGTAATTTTTATCTTTCATATATTATTTTTATATTTATAACTTGAGCTTGCGATGGCACTGTTCTGAATTTTCTGTTGCATGAGAACTCTGGTCCCAATCACTTACTTCGGTACGTACCTAGCTCTGCAGTAGTCTGGGCGTGTGGATTTTCCTCAGTTCAGGAGTTCACAGCGCTCTGTACCGGCATAATTAGCTTGTCGAGTAAGAATCATATTAGCCTAGCTAGGACAACTTGCTTCAATGCCAGTTAAAACAACGTTAGAATTAAATGAAATGAAAGGTTTTCTTTCAGTTCATGGCATGTAAAAATAATATTGTTTTAAGCAAAAAAAAAAAAAATCAGCATTGTCTTGTTGGATGGACATCTGAATTTTATTATTTTAATTTTTTTAGTTTCATATTCGGCTTCAAACAATCTTTTGTTTTTGTACTGTTGTTGCTCTGTTGTGGTAGGAGGAGGGCTGACATGATCATGATTCATGTTATCTGTGATAGTACAGTCTGAAAATAATTGTTAACATACAACAGTATGAAATAATATTCAAGATTGTTTAAAAGCAATTACAAACAATTTTAGTTGGCCTAGGTGTTGAAAACTAGCCAACTGTATGCCAAACTTAACTTGCATGGAAAATTGCTTGGAAAAAGGTGTGCAGAATCCTAAATTACTGCATAATTCATTGGTTATATTAAATTAAGATGTAGGGGCATATTTTGATGCTAGGTATTTGCTTGAATATCTGCCCATAGTTTTGAAACCTAGGCCCTTGTATCCAGATTTCTTGCGGTAAATTTTTGCGCTGATTATGTATTCCTTGTGCAGGCTGAATTAGACACTCGGTGCATGTATGGAAAAATTTAAGGCACACACTAGAGCCTTGCAAAATTGATCCACAAAAATTTTCTCTTGTTTCCCTCTGATAAACTCTCAACTGACCTGTAAAGTAACTTCTGATTGCCCAGAAAATATTGCACTTCAAAACTCAAGCAATAAAGTATGACATTGAGCAGGTGTAGAGTAGTACAAGATTGCAAACTTAAAATCAATCTTTCTAGTTTAAAGTTAATTAAACTTTTATTATCATTTTGTTGAGCTTGAGTTTCTTTTATTGAATTTTTTAGGGTTTCCCCAATTTCATGGTACGTATATTTTAATATAAATTTGTAAATATATTTCAAAGAATAGGTTATTCTAATGCTATTCATGCTTATTTCTTTTCAGAAAAATCTACATTTTGTGAGTTTGAACACATATCGGTTTACTTGTTGTGGCGCGTTTGTCGTTTTTCATTCAATTAGAAAGGTGTCTGTTGTTTCAAAACAGACTAAGAACTGCAACCCTGAATCCCAAACAAAGGCACAGGAAGCTAGCTTCGTCATCTGACACCATGGCGTTAAGTAGAGCCCGAGTTTATGCAGATGTCAACACCCACAGACCTCGAGAATACTGGGACTATGAGTCCCATGTAGTCGAATGGGGGTAAGGAATTTGTATTTTCATAGATGTTTCGTAAGTTGTTAGTAATTTAGTATTACATCATTTTTTTACAGTGTTGATTCATTTCATCAATAAAAGCTTTATTATTTTTTTTTATTAAATTATCTTCAGTAATACTTGTTATTCCTGTTACAAATATTCTTAAACACTATTTAATAGGTTAATAATAACTATTATTTTTGTTATATTTAATGTTGTTGATTATATTAGAAATATAGATGTTGCTGATTTGAGTTGTCTCATTATCGTCTTCCACCAATCTTCCATCTTGTCTGATGCTGTCCATTCATCTCTTTCTGGGTCTCCGTCTTGGTTTGCTCCCATTTTCCACTCTTTCTGCTGCCCATCTAATCATATCAACCTCTTCCCGTCTCATTACATGTCTGTACCATCTTAGTCTGCTCTTTTGGATTTTATCTCCCAAATATGTAAGATTTGTCTTGTTCAGAAACACCTCATTCTTCATTCAGTCTTTCAGTGCAACTCCATGGATTGCTCTTAAACACCTCATCTCTGCCGTCAGCTTCTTCAACTGTAATTCCTTGATGGCCCATGTCTCAGACCCTTACAGTCTCACTGATTGAGATTCAGATTTATTGATCAATCATATAAAAAATGCATGAAATTTTTTTTCCTGAGTTGTGACACACACATAAAATGCAAAAGATAATTACATAAAATCCATTCTATAAAAAGGTTAGTGTGTAAAAAGAAATCACAAAGATACATACATCATAACAACATAAAATGCATAAATACTTAAAAAGTTGTATAAAATGGGCATGACAGAGTCGTTAAAAACCACATGAAAACTATTTAAAACATACAGTATATAAAATTGCAACTAAGGTATGTCCCACAGTCTTGCATTTGAACTTACCTACTGAATTTACTATTATAGAGACTGATTGCACCTGAGAGAAAAGAATAATTTTTAAGTCTGTTTGTTCAAAGTTAGAGTTGCCTATTAAGACTTTCTAATTTATTTATATTTATTTCATTATAGGGATGCATTTCGTTGCTAATTATTTCTTGTAATTTAGTTAGTATAGCTTCCTCAACGAATTTTTGGGGGATTTACTTTTCTATTAATAGTTTTACTTGCAGCCTTGGTTACTTTAGATAATATGTCTTGTCTAACCATTGGTTTGTATACGTAGCTCTGTAGATTGTTGGCATTATCTTATCGCCATTTTAGTCCTCAATATATCCGGTAATTTAGCCTTAAATAAGCCTTAAGATAATACAATATGGTATTTACTTTAATATGACTGTAAAGACCAGCCAAAATATGTTGAATCCCAGTAACCAGCATTAAAAAAGATGTATGGGTTCTTATGATTATAGGCAACAGGATGATTATCAAATTGTACGTAAACTTGGTCGTGGCAAGTACAGTGAAGTCTTCGAAGCTGTCAATATAACTAGTAATGAAAAATGTGTTATCAAAATTTTAAAGGTATGGTTAATTAATTTTACTTATATTCATTAATACTGTATTTTCCAATCTATGAATTGGTGTACCACCAAGGTGCTGTTGAAGGAATTTTTATTGGCCTGTATTGTGGACCTCTCAAAAAAAAAAAAAAACCCTGCCAACTTTGAATAGTGTTGGCTAAGGTCCCATAAACATTGGCTTTTGTAGCTGTGATGAGGACAGCTAAGGTTTTGTTTAAGCGTCCCATTCCCACCACATACTAATAATAAAAATATTGTATGTTTAAATATCTAGAATAATTTTCTACTTTCTGTTGTATTTTGCATTACTGTATTGTGCACTTGATATTTCCACAGCCCGTCAAGAAAAAGAAAATTAAAAGAGAAATCAAAATATTAGAAAATTTAAGAGGAGGACCAAACGTTATTTCTTTGCAAGCAATTGTGAAAGATCCCGTGGTAAGTATATGTATAATTTGCTTTTGAGTTACTGTACATCTGAATAATGTGTTTCAGGGACTATAAGTGTAATCTGTTTTCATCACGGGCAACTGCACTACTTTCAAATATCCAAAATCAGTCTTATTATTTAAACCTCTTACAATACTGAGAGGAATATAAAGTACTTTTTACCACATGTCTCTTAAGAACTGTCTACATTTTATTTAACTGTTGTCTTTATAAGACTAGGATGTTTATTAAAGGGATGCTTTGTGCTATTGCTCTAGCAGAGGATGATTTAGTTGTTAATAAGTGCAGTATTGTTTGGGGATAGTGTGTGGCACTGCATGCAAGGTGTTGGACTTTCAATCAGAAGGTCGGGGGTTCGAGACCGTCACACTGCTTGTGTACTTGGCAAGACACTTTATTTGCATTTGCCTTTCTTCACCAAGCAATATAAATTGGTACATCGGGTAGAATGTGAATGATTCAGAATGAACTAATAGTGTTGATGACACGTGTAAGTATACTCCCAGGGAGTGAAGGAGGTTGCACGTTCTGTATCCAATGACGAGGAAAAAAGGGCTGCGAGACTCACTACTTGTATATAAATGTTAAAATTAATTAACTTAATTTAATTTTTAAAATAATGAATTATGGTTCGACTGTTAAAAGGTTAAAAGTACAGATCAACCTAACAATAATTTAATAATGATAATTTTAGAAATCCACATAAAATTTTTATGCAAAAAAAATATTTGCAAATGAACCACTGTATTTAAAACGAAATTAAAGGATGAAACCTTTAGTGCATCAACATCATTCATCACATTTTGTTAGGACAGAAATAAAAATGGTTACAACATTAACCTAGAAACCATCACAGGAGTGTTTTTTGCCAAACTCAAGCTATTCAATAACTTCCAAAGATAAATGTTTATTGCTACTTGATGTATACAATTACTATTAATGTTGTTTATGTTTCGTTCAGAAACACAAACTGATGTGTTATTGAACTGTGCTATTTTGTGTATGTAATGGTATAATGCCACCATTTATCTGTTATTTTTTGTCTGACCCCTTTACATAGGAAACTAAATTAATGTTGTTTTATATGTTGACAAAATATTAGAATCTTGAAACCTGTTATTTTTGGTTGTTTTATCAGATACCACAGTCATCCAATATTAAGGCTCATTGTCCCTTTTCCTTTCTCAAGCGTAGGGTATGCAAATAGTTGATAATTTTCTACTACCTATGGGGTTATCCATTTTTCATGATTTTTGTCATAGTTACTGGCATGTATTGGTTTTGTACAGTCAAGGTTGTCTGTAGACTTTACAGTAATGCCAACAAGCAAATACTAACATGCTGCCTACTCTATGTTGTAAGCATTTTCTACCCTGCACTCTCTATGAAAAGGCACATTAACATCATCTAATGAGTAATATCATTCCATCTTTGTAAAATTAAGCAAGCTATGCATTTTTCTTAAAGAATATGCTGTCTCTAAACTTGTTTATGCCTTGGGTTAAATTAAGAGAGGACTATTAACCAAGGTTCCTTTACGCTTGCCTTTCACATCAACTAGAAACCTTCAGCTTTTACACACAACATCAGGGTTTGACTCATTACTGGTACGCCAGAATCTGACCACATAACTGTTTTAATCCATTCACCATCATTCCTGTGAAGCAAAGCATTATTTTAAGAACTGTCACCGTAAATTGACAATGAAATAAAATGATGTTAAACTGATTTGCGCATGTGTACACCCGTAGTTTGTCATTCTCGTTATTTTCTACATTTAAAATTGTTGGTGACTGGGTCGTCGTATGAGGCTTTGACCCTTAAAATGGTTTATTCCATCCGACAAGGTGATAGTTCGTGGAGGTTGATAATTATGGGATGGCGCAACAGCCAAGTGGGGAGGGGTGATCAGAAAATGGCCATGTGTGCAGACTGCGAACGAGAAAGGCTGGAGATGTATGTATGCGTAATTCGCTTTGACGTAAACTTACAATATCATCCTGTGTTTATTACTATGGAGTAAATATATCCACTAACTATTTAAAAAAGAAAAGTGCTTTACTGTTTCTATTCTAAAAAATGAATTCATCATTAATCCTCTTAATGCATTTCTGTAAACTTAACTTTTCACAGTGTGCACTCATAGTGTCAACATCTGACTCTGCTTTTGCCTGTATACCTTAGTGCCTGGTTGTGTTGGCAGCGATCTTGTAAGGTTACTGCCCGAAAAATGCTTTGTCTCCATCTGTGCCTGATTTGGATTTTAACTGGAGATTTACCTCGTTCATCATCTCCTCCAGTCATTGTACAAAAATGATAATATTGTAGTGCTTGTTTTTTTTTAAGATTGCGTTTATTTGTGTATTTTGTCAATATTATAGATTTTGTTGTTAGTGATTTGTATTTTGTATTTCTTGTGAAAGGGGAACAAGAAAGAATATTTTTGTACTCTATTTAAAATTATGAAGAAAACTATATGTTGAATGATTCATACGACTATATTGAATCTTTGATTTTTATTTTGCAGTCCAGAACACCAGCTTTGATATTTGAATATGTGAATAACACAGATTTCAAGGTAGGCATTCAAAATAATAACTGAGAGTTACCACAATGCCAAGTCACAAGGAACAACAGCCTAGTTTAAAGGTTACCTAGTAATATCTTCTTCTCTCCACTATATGGGAGTGTTTTATTCCGGTTGTATGAAAGAAAGTGCCTGGGGGGTTAAATCTGCACGTATACCCTTTAGGTCTCCATCGTCTAATGCGTATAACACTCGCCTTGACAGGGAGAGGTTGCAGGTTCAAATTCCGCCAGGAACACTTTTTTTTATACAACTGAATTAAAGAACTATTCGTTAAAGGGCTATGCTCGATACAATTTTAACTTCTTGTTCCTATTTGAGCACTGTTATTATTACTAGTAATAGTTTTTGAATTAAAAGTACATATATACCAATATATTAAAATAATGAAGATTGATACTGAAAATAGTATAAATAGTTCTTATAATCATAATAAATTATAATTGCTGAAACAACAGTTTGCAAATATTATAACATAATTTTATGTACATTTTTTCCAGCAATTGTATCAGACACTGACAGACTATGAGATACGGTACTACCTCTTTGAGCTTCTTAAGGTAATGTACTGTTTTGTTTTTTCTGATGGCACTTCAAATTATGTTTATGTATGTTTTAGGGTATCTCTGTTTCGCCATCATACTTAACAAACACTTAACCTTGTTCAACAAAAACGAAAAGATAAACAGTGAATCTCATCATATTTATGGAATGTCTGTACAACAAATGTTTGAGGGATCTTTTTGTCTGATGGAAGTTGTACAGTCAAACAAACCAAAGATACTAGAAATCACAAGATAGAACTCTCCACAGATAAAAACTATCACCGAATTGCATTGTGGGTAAAATATCCAGTCGTATGCAGTGCCCCATTAAATGAGGTGCCGCGTAGGTGTGGATCTGGCCTGGATATAAACCTAAGTAAATTGCCATTGTTAAAAAAGAAGAGTGGCACGTCTGCCAGGATCCGCGTAAAACGTATGACATATATCCGCTTCAGTTTCGCTATGCGAGAGTCCTACCTTGTGTTTCTAGTATCTTTGGTCAAACATTTTTCTATGTGGTATTACAGACATAAGTGCAGTGCTAAATATATTGAACAGTTACTTCTGATGGTGTTGTACTACTGATAGTTAAAGCTTAAATTTACTTTTACATGAAGCCACGCCCCTTGGATATTGTTGCTAATATCGCACAAAACATTTGCATAAAGGTACATAACCACATGCATGTGAAAGACGACATGTGTTTGTTGGACACACACATATTTGTGGCACTCTTTTGATTGGTCAGTCGTTTGATTGGCAGTCTGGAAATGAACATTACCATGGGGGTTGCTTTGCCAATCTGCCCATTAACATTCAGGGTATGAAGCAATCTTAGCTGCTCAACCGTATGTGTATATGCCTGCATGTATGTGCTTTTTGTGTTGGTCAGAATATTTTATGAAATAATTAACATCATGTTTTGGTTTTTGTAGGCATTGGATTACTGCCACAGTATGGGTATCATGCATAGAGATGTTAAACCACATAATGTGATGATAGATCATGAAAGTAGGATTGTGAGTATTATTGCCTGTCATATCAATTATAATTTTTTTATTAGCTGGCTGCACAACGTGTCTGCCAACAAGCATATCTGCTGCGTGTGAGTGAAGTGCTTAGCAATGTGACACGAGACTGCTGTTTATCGGTGGCAGGTAGAGCTGTCGTCATTAAAAACAATTTGTCGCGGGCTGCATCGTATCTCCATAGAGCTATAATTTAATTTGTGGTACTGTATGCCGAATTGATCAGTTTAACCATGCTATGAACTTTGACATTATAGTTACGATTGATTGATTGGGGTCTAGCAGAATTCTACCATCCAGGCCAGGAATACAATGTAAGAGTAGCATCGAGATATTTCAAAGGACCTGAACTACTTGTGGACTACCAGGTAAGACTACCTTAAGTTTAGCATACTACATTATGTGTGGATAATGTGTTGGCCTCTCTATCTTAAGGTCATAGTTCACAGACAGCAAATTCCAAATACATACTACCACTTCATGGTGAAACCTTTTGACAATAGAGCCCCATTTCTATCCTGTCAGTGACCAGTCCTTTGCTTTTAGGCTGAGTAAATAAATTCGTTATATGAATACAGTACAGTATATGAATAAAAAATGGTTATATGAATTCATGCATAAATAATGAATCATGCCTTTTTGCCCTCCAGCTTTATGATTACTCATTAGACATGTGGAGCTTAGGTTGTATGCTGGCCAGCATGATATTCCGCAAAGAGCCTTTCTTCCATGGTCACGACAATTATGACCAACTGGTGCGTATAGCAAAGGTGTTAGGAACAGATGAACTTTATGAATACCTTGACAAGTACCAGATTGAACTAGATCCAAGATTTAATGATATCCTAGGCAGGTGAGTACCTTCCAGCTAGTGGATCTAGGGGTATTGACAAGAGGTGAAGATGAGTAATGGTGCAATGGAAGTGTGTGACACTGAAGAATGAGTTGATAATAAAGCGCTGTGATCAGTTTCATGATATTTGCGGTTTGGCGCTGCGGTTGCAGTTTTTCTACTCAACCTTGAGGTCAGAGGTTCAATTTCTCGCTGTGCATTTTGCTTGTGTCCTTAGGCAACTTTACCTACGGTTGTCTGTCCACCCAGGAGTACAAGTGCGCTGATGACAGCTGCAACATTATGGAATTCTCCCCAGGGACATGAAAATGTGTTCCATATGTGCTGGATCCTGTGACCGGGGTAATCATTTTAAGCGCATAGAGGTCTCTACAATATGCGATCTATAAGTTGACCATTATTATTATTATTATTATTTGTAACTACTCCTTAAAATAAATTTTTACAGACATTCGCGCAAAAGATGGGAACGATTTGTCCATAGTGAAAATCAACATCTAGTTAGCCCAGAAGCATTAGACTTTCTTGATAAGTTATTGAGATATGAACATCAAGAAAGACTAACGGCACGAGAAGCCATGGAACACCCATATTTTTGTAAGTATTTTTGTTTCACTTAAATAATTAGGATGCCAAAAGTAACCAATTTCTGGGTTGAAATAGTAAATAGTTTCTGAAGGTGAAGATGTAGTTGGTTGTGGATATATCACTTTATGAACCAATTTGAATACTATACATTTATATATTTATTATCTCACAATTATATTAACTTAAGATAATTGTGAGATTGAAGTCTCATAATATATTAACTTAAGATGAATGCCAGATTACAATCTTTTAATTATATGAACTTAGATGAATGTGAGATAACAATCTCACAATTATAATAACTTGAGATAAATGTCAGATTGCAATCTCACAATTGTATTAACTGAAGATTGTTAAATTAAATCTAAAAATTAACTTAAATAAAATTATTGTAAAATTGCAATCATTTTATCTAATTCATTCTCTGACATATTCCTGTTGCAACTGAACTTTTTTTTTACAAATTTTGATTTCTCCACTACTTCTCCAACACTCGTGTACTTTTTGTATTGCTTTTGTATTTTATTCTTCATTTTGTATCTTCTTTCCTTTTTGTTCGTTAATTTTTCTATCAACTTTTTAAAACTTTCTAACCACTCATTTTCTTTCTGTCTACTCATTATCTTTCTATCTTTACTTTTCTTCCTTGTTTAATTTATCTCGTCTGTTGTCTTTTGTTTTGTGTCTTATTGTGTCTTTCTAAATGTCATACAACCTCTAGATCCAGTTGTGAAAGACCAGCAGCGATCAATGCACCCAGTGTTAAACAACACGCCTTCCAGCACCAACACAGTGACGTCGAGCAATGCCGGAACAAGTAAGTGACGGCACTCATCCGCTTGTGCTTGGTATGTGTATTCTCTTCCTCTATCTTGCATCTTCCATCTATGCAGCCATTAGCTGCATGTGGTGACTTGCCAGAGACCCTAGTTGTCATTATCAACTACGGCAGGCCTAGAGAAGACGTATCTGCTCTGAAATCCATAAAAAATTATCTTCATCAATCACCTCCAGCAACAAATGTGGTCTGGTAGGAAAAATGAGCCTCCAGTGTAATACACAATGACTCATAAGACTGCGGGTCATACTGTTGCTCTTGGCCTAAGGAAGATTTGCATCTATGATCGGGGAGCCTAATTCCGGTTACGCTAATATATCTGTGTTTGAGTATAATATTTTTTGTGTTCTAACAAATGGCATTTATAAACCACATGCATATTCTGACTGTATATTTTGTGTATTATGCTCAATTCACAATGTCAAGGCTTATGTGACAATTACGTATGATTTTTCATATATGGCTGTGAATTGACATGTCCATATATGGCTGTGATATGACATGTCCATATATGATGTGATATGACATGTCCATATATGTTATGATACAGCATATCCATATATGGTATGATATGACATGTCCATATATGTTGTGATATTACATGTCCATATATGAATGATGTGATACCTTGCCTAAATTTTCTAGATCCATATTATATCATTTATTCGTCATTGTCCATATATGGTGTGGTATGACATTTCCATATATGGTTTGGTATGACATGTCTATATGGTGTGATATGATGCTTATATATGGTGTGGTATGACAATATCCTTATATGGTGTGATATGACATGCCCATATATGGTGTGATTATTACATCATCATGCTCATATATAGGCAAATCACAGAATTTGTCACAGAAAATTTGATAGTGTGGGCAGAGCTATATAATCAGCGATAACATTTATAATGAATTCAATTAACACTGCTTGTCGACAGATGTTTGTGATTTTGGCTTCTGTATCCTAACTTTTTTAGTCTTTCTTGACTCGTTATTTTGTATTTAACATCAACAACGAACATTGACTTGTTCACTTTGTCTAGTGGAAGATCATATTAACTATATAACGCATGTTACATCTCTATTATACATGCCATGTTATTAGTTGACTTAATATTATACACGCCATCTATTATACTTGCCATTGTACTGGTGGACTCAATATTATACACGCCATCTTATTGGTTGACTCTATATTATATTTGCCATTGTTCTGGTCGACTCAATATTATACACACCATCTTATTGGTTGACTCAATATTATATTTGCTATTGTACTGGTCGACTCAATATTATACATGCCATCTTATTGGTTGACTCAATATTATATTTGCCATTGTACTGGTCGACTCAATATTATACACGCCATCTTATTGGTTGACTCAATATTATATTTGCCATTGTACTAGTCGACTCAATATTATACATGTCATCTTATTAGTTGATTCATATTATACATGCCATCTTATTGGTTGACTTAATAATTTACATGCCATATTTTATTAGTTGATTGATTATTATACATGCCATCTTATTGGTTGACTTAATAATTTACATGCCATATTATTAGTTGAATTATTATTAATTATACATGCCATCTTATTGGTTGACTCAATTTTATATTGCCATTTTATAAGTTGATTCAATATTATACATGCCATCTTATTGGTTGACTCAATACTTTACATGCCATATTATTAGTTGAATTAATGTTAATTATACATGCCATCTTATTGGTTGACTCAATATTTCACCTGCCTTATTATTAGTTGACTTAATATTAATCATACATGCCATCTTATTGGTTGACTCAGTATTATGCCATCTTATTGGTTGATTTGAAAAGAGTTGTAAACTTGTTACTGCTTCAGTGCTAGTTGTTTACTGTACAACTGAAGATGCTGTTTTAAACATTACATTTGAAATACACATTATTTCATTTTTGGAATTGATATCAAAAGCTGTTGCATTTAATTCAGAATGTAACTTATTAATGATAACCTGTGTACATTGAAGTAAGAGACAAGATATTATGCTAATGATGTGTGGTTTCTGTACTCACAAAATAAGAACCTAAAACTGTCCACACTATCATTTATGTGACAAAGACTGTGATATGCCCATATTTGGATGAAATATCATCATATCATACCCATATTTGGGCACATCACACAAATTTGTCATATAAATTTCATAGTGTGGCCAAAGCTTGAGATATTGATTTGTTATTAATATAATAATAAAAATGATTTTCACTATATATGGCACATTTATGCTATAGCCATGTTTGCTTTTATCTTATGTCTGTGCTGTATGTTTATTAATATTAATTATAGTTACCATTCACTTAGATCATTTGATTAACTTTCTAAGATGTATTAAAGTGCTGTCAAATGGCGGGATGGAAGAAAGCAGCACTTTTAATGGTGTGATGCATATAAAATTATTAAAACAGAAAGAAACTTCTGCTAGGAAATGGGCTTGGATAAATACTGCCCTCTGTAGGTCAAATTGCAGTCAACTTTTGGTTGATCAAGGTGTAATTAATTTATTCAATTATTTATAATAAATATTGATAATTTGAGATTTGAAAAAAAAACAGTGAATACTGAGGGTAATTTTGTTTTTGTTTTCATGAATTATGTTGTAAATTGGTCTTCCAACATTTGTAATCCTTGCATTCATTGATCTCTTTGTCTCTACAGCTTCAACCACGTCTCTGGCCTCATCGAAGGGTATTTCTGGAACACCAGTGATAACCACTCCAGCAGCGCAAAACGCAGCAATATCGTCAACTGGACCCGTAGCAAACACCGCGCCATGAGCATTTGACTTTATTGCAAGGGCTTCAGGCGCAAATATAACATGAGTTTCCTGAGACAAAAAACATTTATTTAGGTGACTTAAATTTATAAAAACAACTTGAAAACTGAAAAGTTCTTTGTCTCAAAAACGAAATGACTCATCCAATTGATTTGTTTTATTAATGAAGCAGCGACTGCTACTACTAAAAAAAAAACTTGTGTACGTATTAGTAAACTTTGTTAGGTATTGTTGAATTACATGACCTTAGAGAACCAGAGCCTTTGAATGTGTGTCATAAATGTTTATTTGCCGACACTCAATCTGCTGTAGAAATACTACCCCTTCTATATATCTTTAAAAAAGTGCTTTGCAAAGCTTATGGTGTGTGTGCTCATAATGATGAGGACTATTAATGCTAGAAAGTTGTGTACGTTTTTTTTTTTGTGTGTGTGTGGACGTGAAGCTCTTTGTAAACAGTATTATGGATGGTCAAGAGGTTTGTGAAGTATACGATTCTGGGTGTCAGTATTTTTTTACCATTCTTTTTATTGTTTTAAAATGAAAATTTAAACAATTTGAATGCTTCTGAAACTTACATCATTACAAGGTAAACAATTCTAGCATAGTTTTTTTTTTTGCGTAGATTCTTATATGAGAGTGGATAGGAATATCTCTTTTGATGCTATATTTTTATGTTAATTTTAATGATTTATTTTCTTTTCTATTTAAAGAATCTTACAAAAGAACCTGAAAAAAGTGTATGACATTAAGGTATCTCGGATTAAGATTGTTAATTGCTTTCACATTAAATGTTGGAATTAAAAAGTAAATGTAAAATTGATCAAGAATTCATGTATAATAAGAGCAAATGTGGAACAATGAAAGGTTTTTAGAAATATTCAGGGTTTGTTTTTAGGTATGATTGCTTTATACAATACTGAACATTAGTATGATTCGTAGGCAACATTTTTTAATGTTCAACTGTGTTGCTTCATTGTACAGTATGTATTTAGACTACCGTATAATCAGGCATACAGGTTGATCCAAGTATAGTATAATTTGACCAATCTAGTTTTTGCCATAAACTTTGGCCAGGCTTGTAGTTTGGTCAGACAATGAGTCCACATAAACATCGTCAAACTATAATTACTTCTTTAATTCTTAAAACACTTGTAACATTATCAATGGAAGATGGTGAATTTTCGGCCTAAAAATGGCTGTGTAGAAGGTCGACTTACACATCAGTAATTATATGGTATTACTTTAGCTTATTTATTTTGTCACATTTTCTGTATTATGGTATTTTAAACCAGCTCAAAAGGGAGTACTGTATTGTACCCATAAGCTCTTGTGCAACACTTTTTAAGTAGAAATCATTTATCATCAAAAGTTGTTTTTAATCCTTGTATGGATGAATACAACTAAATTAAAAGCGATCCCACCGCACACAAATTCATGTTTACTGTAGTAAATAACTACAGTACATTAAAGAAGAATTTAATACTGTGCCAATAGTTGGTGATGTAGAAAGGCCACAGTTTGTTCTATGCATCAAAAGTAGCTCCCATTATTTTTTTTTACCACGTAGTCACCAGAATACAGTGATATACTGTACATTCTTTTTGTTTATAATTCTAAATTTTCAAAATACTTTTTCTGCTGTCCTCTTAACATGCATTTTCAATGTCATCTCGTTTGTATTACTGTGAACAAAATGGGTTTCAAGTTTTGTGCATTTTAAAGAATTACTTGTAAAAAAGAAAACTAAAAGAAATATTGATTTAGATAACAATTAGTTATGCTTTTTGAGAAATTTCTGTTTTGTACATTAATCCGACACGCTGGCCTCTTGGTGAGGTTTCTGGATCAGTTTTGCGTGTTCCACCACCTTCATGTTTTTATTCGAAGGCTATACTGTATATAGCTGATGATCAATAAACTAATAACAATTGAACTTTGAGTTTCTTTTTCATTCTTTTCGTGTTTATTTTATATCATTATAAATTGCAAGGTTAACAACAATTAAAAATTAAAGAACAAGTAAATATTAATTTTTACACAATTTATTTTTCTCTGTTCTTTAAACAGAATTTAAATTGCTATTTAGCAAATATACCTAATTGGTATGCAATGT